AGGGTAAAATAGGTATTTTAAAAAAAAATATTTATCTTTTTTACGTTTTCCGTCTTGATCATTAAGGAAAGGGAAGTATTTATTGATTTTTTATTAGAAAAAAAAAATTTACTAAAATAGAACTATAAAGGAGGTTTTTATGATTGTCAGAAGTTTTTATATTTTATCCTTTTCTTAAAAAGAAAGGAGTGACGGGGATTTCGGCGTTGAAGGTGGTCGGAGTCCCGGGTGCGGCCCTCGGATGCTGGACCCACCGAAGTAAAGAAGCAAACGGTGACTTTGCGTGACGTCAAATGGGTTGACCACTATATATATATATATACCGACGTGGCTTGGGATGCAGAGGTGCGGATGGCATTAGCTGCAGGCGCCTTTATCGATGCCACGTGTATGACATGGGTAGAGACGTGCATCAGTTGGAGCGGACAGCACGCATGTCTCCTTACCTTCCAACAAAAATGGGTCCCTCCCTCCGGCAGTCTATCTGGCAATAGAGTCATCTGGAGCTCGTCAGTTCTTGATGGCAACAAAACAACTACCACCCGTGAATCCGTGAGAATGTATGTGACCGTGAGTGAGAAAAGATATCAATCCCTCTTCCAAGTTCCAACTTCACACCCTATACGTCTCTCTCACTCTCAAATCTCAATCTGAATCTAAAGCCATCAGCCATAAAAAAGAGAAGGGGAGGCCCGTCAAATTAAGACTTAAGAGGTAGGTAGTTTTAAACTTTAAATCAATCAGAGGTCATCCAAACAATATTGATTGGTAAAGGGTTAGGTTGCATCGGGGCTGCTTCATCTATCTCTCGATTTGTAAAGCCCATGGCAAATGATCTTATCATGTGAGTGACTAGTATATGTGGTCATGATGCACTCTTGTTCATCCGTTTCCAGTCATTTTCATTATAAATTATAAGATCTTGCGAGATCTTTTATACATTGTCAAATTCCTGCGCTGTATTTTCCCTTCTATTTTTCTCTTCCACATTTGTCCTCTTTTGCTGATAAAATCTGGATCCTGCTCCTGGTCTACCTTCTCTCTTTCGACTGCTCTAGCTGCTAGGTAATCTCGGCTTTGCAATCTTGCGTGTCGCTCCATCATTGGCTTCCTATCTTTACTTTACGGTTGGGCCAAGCCATGCATATCGCATAGTAAGTACGAGGGTTCCAAAACCCAAAACTCAAAACCACGACCTGTGTAGAACATGATACGGGCCGGCGGCCATACGGCATACGGATACGGGTGAGGTTTATGATGGGATGTGAATTCTGAATTTCTTCTTTTTTATTTTATTAAAATATAATTCCGTGACGCCACGTGGACTTACCCTTGAATTCTACGCTAGCAAAACAAAGGGTTTCTTAATTCCATAAACATTGCTTTAGTAGTAGTAGGCACTTAATTAGGTAGCGTGCGCCATGGAAGTGGGAGGGGGGGGGTGTTCGGTTCGCTTTTTTACTTTCGTTCTTTATTTCTTTTCAATGCATGTGGTAATCATGATAACGAGTGGGGGATGGTGTCACGTGATCGTGTATTTTTTTGGTTTAACGTATAATGTAATCTTTTTCTCTTTTTTTTTTAAGGCTAGTAAACGTGTACTGTATAGTCTAACGACAACTAAAAAAGGAGATTTGTACTTTTGTATAAAAATAGAAAAAAAAAGAAAGAAAAGAAGAAATGGAGATCAGCCTTTTGAAATCCGTCGATGCGAGTAACAAAAATTAAGCCCAACTTTTGTGATGATTGCCATTCATTCGAATATATATGTAGTAACAAGCCTTTTGAAATCTGTCGACCACTGTTTTTAGATTTTAAATTTGAAGTGCTACGTTATCTTAGCAGGATGAGCATCTATCTGCGTTGTGGTATTGCGACATGTGTCACGACATGGTTGAATGAGATCCTTTCAAAAAATATCTCACAATGGATCCTCTCGTGCATACACAAAAATTTCAACAGCACAAGTAGCCTAAAGTAACGTAAGGTCTAGTTCGCTGCTTAAAATAAGAGGAAAAGATAATAAAAGCGAGAGACAAATTTTGTGCCAAATAATAAACTGGGACAACAATATTTGAGAAGACGAAAGGAAACAACAAAGCCGTCAATATATATATATATATAAAGGAGGAAAAAAAAAGCGCTAGAGGAAAATTTCTCGTAAGAAATAAAGATTCAACCGATAGAAAAGATAGACATTGGTATGGAGTTTTGACCCTTATTCATTACCAAAAACGGATTTTGAAATCAAACCTTCGTCTTGTAAGTAAAGGAACCAACCACTCGGTTTAGATGAAAATTTGAAGTTTTATCCATCTGTTGGGCTGATCCGATCATTCGTTGATAAAAATTAAAAATTCAACTTGGTTAATTAGTTTTATAATTACTAAGTGTGACGATCACGTTCCCTTTTTCGATAAGCATGCATGTGCATGGCAAATTAAAACGAAAACAGATTTAAGGCGATTCTATGTGTTTCTACATGCATCAGGAGGTAGCTGTTGAAGTCTCCATTATCGTTTTCTTTTCTTTTCTTTTGCTTCTGATTCTCAGATTAATTAAGCAAAAATGAAAGAGATAAAATGACGAATTGCATAGTTTCCTGTGTAGAAATATTTCTTTTTTTTTAAGTTAAAATATTTTATTTCATTCAACTATAAAACTTAAATGAATATAGAATAATGGCTATAATACCAAATAAAAACATATAAAAATAGAGAAATGGTATCAATACTAATTAAAAATATAAGTCTCTGAAAAGAACAAAATTGTCACAATCGATAAAAGAGAAAATGATTGCGGAGCCGTGGTTGGGTTTTATGCTTTGCTCATCGGAAATCACAGCCAAATCGCTAGAAGAGCTGCAGTCTGCGGTAACCAACCTGCAGTATTAACAATTAAAAACAAACATTAAAATTGAATGACGAGCAAATTAACATGGCATATTGAGCGATCCATCATCCATATAATAATTAATATGGAATGCATCTTGACCGTGAATTAATGTCAAATTCACGGGCAGATGTGATTTATAGAGGGGAGAGGGCTAATAGTAGGGGAGGGGGGGCTGGAAACGGCACGCCAACGTTGATTGCGGAGCTGTGGTTGGCAAGTAGGACACGACCTGTCGTAGAAAAGTAAACATAAAATAGGTCCCACTATCCAACCAGTAGCCAAAGGGAGATTCTCCTCTAACACAGTGAGCATCCTTAACGGGACTTGATCAACATATAAAATTAGTACGTACTTGCTATCAAACAATACTTACATACTACTCATCGTAACCCGGTTACCCTTCACAGGGATTCTCCTCTGACAATTATCGTTTCATTGCTTAAAAAACCTTTTATAATATTTCGGATATACGTAGTTATATTATATATGCCTTGACAAGGCAAGCCAACCAACCTGAATTTGTAGTCCTATTCCAAAATCACTGCTCATGAACAACCACTAAAACATGAGTTACTTGACGTATCCTCTGCCATATTTTCATGGTTCATGGTTCTGAGTGCAGTTTCTCTAGGAATTGTAATGTTTGCAGCCATGGATGACTAGATGGTCTTGGATTTGGGGCGCAAGAGGATATACTCACTGTGAGCACAGGTGCTATCTATACAATTAACTACCCTATACCCTATACCCTCTATATATAGCACAGGTGCTATCTATAACGGTAGTAGAAGGCAGCTTTAATTGGCATTGTTTTTCCATACGATTTCATGGTTGGTGTTCTAATGTTACTTATAACTATGCTTATTAAATGAAGAAAAAATTTTGAGTTTCTCTTTTTTTCTCTCTCTCAAGCATACTGATGGTTATTGAGTTAAAAATAAATAAAGAAACATTACAAGGACATTGTGATCTTTGGATGGAAGAACATATAAGCACAAGTAATGAGGTTGATTTGTATCGTTGTCGTCCTGCAATTTTATTTTTTATGCCTTTGTTCTCACGAGTGGAGCCAGGGGACCACGGGGAGCCATCCCCCCACCCCATCCCCCCACGCACCAAGGCCTACAAATCCCCACTTATATATTAACCCTTCATATAAATTCTTCCCCTCCACCACTCCCCACCCCAATGGTTTCCACCCCCACCCTTCAATGGCCTAGAAATCCCCACTTATATATCAACCTTTCATGTATGTTTTTCCTCTCCATCACGAGTTGTTCATTTCTTGCATTTTGGGAGGGGGTAAATTGATCATTGAGATTTTGATTTCCATTTATTAAGAAATTCATATTCTTTTTTCAAATTTATGTGGGGGTCAAGGAAATTTTATTTTCTTGGATATCATTTGGTAAATGATATTCATCTCCTAGGTGGTTAAATAACCTTCCCATCTCGGAGAAAGTTGCAAACACTTGAATGAGACAAAAAATGCCCCTTCTAATAATGAATTTTTATGACTAAAATGGTCAATGCCTTATTTGTATAAGACATAAAAGAACATGAGTAAATTCACTTAGTGGGAAACACTTATACCCAGGTAAGTGCTTTTACCTGGATAAATACCTTACCAAAAAGCAAATGGAGCCTTAGTTTTTTTCCCCAAAGAAAAAATTTCTACCTCCACACATGTTTATTCTAGACTAACTTGATGAGCAATAGGGGAACTATATTGATGGATATCAAACAACTTTTAGATATCACAAGCAAGTAGGGAAATGTTTCATTTTTGGGTGTCAGTTCATTTGAAGTCACCTTTTGACCGTATAATTACAATAAAAATGTGCATCCTACCTCAGAGAGTCGACATCATGCTCATTGTCAGACCAGGTGTGCGCTTTTCCTTTTTATTGTTGGATCAGGTCCGCCCCAACATACTTGAACCGGATTTCTCGCATGTTTCGTTCTTCATTTGGATCTTGTAAGCCTTGAAACGTATCGGATGTTATCGAAAGGCCGATTTTCGTAGCTCAAAACAACCGAAACTTCCATCTGTTTGAGCCTTCGTCTCCTAAGGTTCGAATTTTTCCATCTATGTGCAGACCTAGATGGTCGGAAACAATGGAGGTGGCGTGGAACGAGTGTCGCAGTCGCTCCAAAGGAGGTGTTACAAAGACCGAAGGTATTGGACCACGGCCCATGTTTCGTGTCGGGTGATATGGGAGGAAGAACATGTCCTCCTGCGTCACCCATTTTGCCTCTGAATTCGTTCTACAGTTTTGAGGAATTTCAACCAAAGGAGAGAAAGAAAAGGTCGAAGAAGACGAGGAAGACCCACGGGAAGTACAAGAAGAAAGAGAGTTTCTACCATCTCAGCTCCTTGTCTCCAGAAACTAATGGTGGTGGGTGATTCAGCAGTGAAGACGAACTAGACGACGAGATAGAGACGTTTTTCTCCTCGAGGAGCTTCTCTTCTGATTCCTCGGAGTCTCGTCACCTAAACAAGACAAGTTCTCGCCGGAGATCAAAAGCCAGAGCAGAACAGAGAAGAGCAGTGAGCAAGAATTCCGATATGGGATGCTGTATGTTTTCCACTAGGGGGAAAGTGCAGGAAAGTTTCGCAACAGTGAAGCGCTCCAGCGATCCTTACAGTGATTTCAGGACATTAATGGTGGAGATGATCATCGAAAAGCAGATATTTGCAGCCAAGGATCTCGAGCAGCTTCTACAGTGCTTTCCGTCGTTGAACTCCATTCATCATCACAAAGTGATCGTCGAGGTCTTCTCAGAGATAATGGGAAGCTCTGTTCTCTAACTTGTCTTGAAGAAATCTGCTATTTCTTCTTGTTATATTTAGATATCTGAGAAAGTAGCTAGCTTTTCTCGTTTTTGTTGTTAACTCTTGAAACTCTAACTGTTATTGACTAGTTAATGCTACTCTTTCTAGTTTTTCCTTTCAAACCTTTGATGGCTTCTTCTTCTTACTTCATTTTCATTGTTTGTTTCTTTGCTTTCTGTTCCTCCTTCTATCTAATGGGGATCAGTTAAAAAAAAGACAAAGCAGACGAGAAGCTAACAGGAGGGAGAATAATACATGAAGACGCCTAACAGAACAAATATAACAAAACAAAAGTGGAGATATCAATGGACGCTTGGCCGCATTGGGTATTACCATTTTTAGTTGGCCATGGAAAGCATAGCTGCAAAGAAGAAGGAGGGTTACGAGGGACGGGACCAGGTGGGAGAAGATCAAGTTAAATAGGCAAATCGGAAGAATCCTTTTTTCTCCTCCTCCATTTCATCTGTATCACTTAAAGCAGAATCCCGTCATCAGGTTCTAGTTTCCCGTCCTCTCTACTGTTAACAATCCCAACACCTAAGCCCATGCAAAACCCTAGACCTTTGGCACTAACCATATGACTCTTGTCCGCAAAAGCGAAGCCCTTGGAGGCGTCTCCCAATCTCAAACCCAACTCCATCTCTCTCTCGTACAGACCGAGAAGAAACCCTCCGTCACTTCATCTCATGGTTTTTAAGAACGAACCGGTGACTGTTCGACCCAAACGGCCGGCCCGTTTTGACAAAAAAAAATTAAAAAATTAGAAAACAGTCAAAAACCGTTCGAACGATTAACCGGACGGTTTTGAAAACAGTGCTTCATTTGTTAGTTATTTCAGTACTCATTTTACAAAAGGGTAAAATGGGTATTTGAAAAAAAATTATGCACAGGTAAATGTTTTCCGTCTGAGTCACTAACGGAAGCGAGATTTCTGTCAAATTTTTTAACAGTTCAGGGGAAGTTTTTGCTAAAGTGAAACTATAGGGAAAGTTTTTATAATTGTCAGAAACTTCAAGGGAAGTTTTTTGTATTTTACCCTTAAATAAATTATATAATATACATATACTATATAATGTATATTATATATAATATTTATTATATTAAACGTATTTATTTATTTATTATAATCAGGTCCATCAAGTCAAACCCGATTCTCCCAAGAACTGATCAGTTTGATTCCGAGTCCTCAATATTTCCTATCGGGTCAGTTCCGGTTCTAGTTTGTCCTGACCCAGACCCAACATAATGAAAACCCTATTTACGCTCTTGGATAGAAAACATCAAATTGTCAATAGTGGATTTCAATGTGTTTAAAACCAATTTGGAAAACGTAATTATATATGCCAATAGTTTATTTTATGATATGGTTTGCAAATTGTTTTAGTCTCAAGATCCATTTGAATAGAAAGTGTGACACTATATCTTATAATTAAGAAAAAAGTCGTTCCCTATAGACATGTATTAATATAATTGACTAAGAGGTTAAGAGTTGGTGATTATTTGGGCTAAAACCCGGCAATAGGTTTTTACATGTTAAGCCATTGGCCTTGGGTTCGTAGGATAGCTGAAATCCCATCTCCATTTATATAAGTGTTGGGATGAATTTGAGTATAATAAGATTGGGAGCAGTTTGCTATGTCCACTAATGAATTCAGCCAATATGTTTTAATATATGGGCCAAACCCATCCATGTGACTTAGGAGCTTAGTGGGGCCCACACCATACAAGGTACAAGTCAAATGGACTAGTTAAAGGTTTAAAATTTACAGGCCAGTTCAGGGGTTTAACTTGCTTCTAGCTTTAATACCTCTACATAAAATAGAGTCAAGGATTTTTCTTCCAAAGCCTAGTTTGACCAAGGTTGAAAACTTTTCTCTATTTTCTTTTTGAGTTTTCCAATAAAAATGCCATATACCTTTTGAGTGACTAGTAAGCATGCATATGTTAACTCCAGATGATGATAACGATAGTAATAATATATCAAAAAAATTATATTAGTATGTATTTTTATTTTTTGTTTTTATAATTTTTATTTTAATTATTAATAGGAATAGATAGCAAAATCCAAATCTGATTACATGAAAAACCCCATCCAAATATCATTGAATCAAGTTGTGTAGTTTCCAAGTATCATTGATAGGCCTACCAACTTGACTATATTCTTTTTTTTGTAATGTTTTATCTTTTTGGTGTATCTTATTTTTTGTTTAATTATCAAATAAATGTAAAATTTAAATAGGGATAATTGAATAAGGTGAATGATGTTGTTTGATCTAAGGTGTGCCGAGTTGAACACATAATAGATAGTCCAGCCAATTGGACGAGGTCGAAGTGAAAGGACAAGACCGTGCACCATAGTCTGCATGCACAAAGAGAACTGATCAAAGTCGAGGAGTGTAATGTGGGCTAGATCCCAATGAGCTTACCATGTGAGGTAGATGCCTTTATATAGACCAAACACCTGTGTAGTAGTCCGATGTTGTTTGCGGGGTTGTCGGGATAAGGTCTCCCATTGAAGTTCTCAAGAGGCCTGGCTCTCTTGGTGGGCGACATCTCCTTATCCGTGCGAGACTCTTATTCCTCACGAGGCCTCTTCATGACACAATTGTGGTGATGTTTGCCGACGTAGTCGAAAGTCATTGGCCACGGAGGTAGATCACGTGGTAGCTTCTGCCAACTAAGGTATCACCCAAACAATGAAAAAATAGTAATAATGGTGTTAATGGACTGGTTTTTGACTGGACCCCGTCCAATCCAAAATCAATTTTGACTAATTAAATGGACCAACAAGACATATTGAATTGGACCAATCTGGTCCAAAATATTTATTAGATTGGATTGGACCTGGTTCGTCCATAATAAATTTATATTGGATTGGATTGGATTAAGTCAATATCTAGTCCATTGATATAAGATAAGAATATAGGTGTCAATGGACTCGATTTGGGTTGAAACCAATCTAATTTAAAACAAATTTGAATAGATTGGATAGTCCAAAATGGTCCAAAATATTTACTGGATCGGATTGGACCAATTCCAGTCCAATTGACACTCCTAAGTAGTAGTTCAATTTACAATTTAAACATCACAATTAAATTGGAAATAAATTCAAAATTCAGTATTTTAGTTAAAAGAATGGTTCATAATCTTCTTATTCATGTTTTTAATTGTAGTATAAATATAGAATTATAGATGTGTTCAATTTTTCTATAATTCTTTTTGTATTTCTTTGTGTAAAAATAATTCTGATATGTCACACTTACTTCTTGTTTGATATGATAATTATATGATATTATACACGTGCCTGAATGTTCTTTTGCAAAATTTATTCATTTTATGTTTTTATTTTTTATTAATTTTTATTGATTGATTTATGACATTCAATGCTAACAAATTTGACCTAAAAGTTGAACTATTGATCTTTGCCAATGGGTTGGTTATTGAGTTAGTTTTATAATATACAGGTTTATATTGTTAAAAAAATTGGCATAGATCTAATTAGTAACATTTTTTAGTAAAAAATAACTTAATATATGATTTAATAAGAGAAAATGGGAGTTAATACTTTTAGTAATAAGACTTAATAAGAGGGGATTAAATAAGGTAGAAAGTAATAATTAAGGTTACATTTTCAACCTTCACAATTAAAGATGCACTAAATAGACAAATATGAGCATTTTAGTTGCAATTAAAGTTGGCATTAAATCTTCAATAAAATAGCTTTTATACCCTTTCTCAAACAACAAAATATGGGTAATTTTAGTTCAAAAAACTTTCACTCTGAATTTAAACTTTTATATTATAGTATAGATAAATATATCACATCAAGAGTTCCATTTATGGCACCAGCATCAGGTATCATTCTACCCAACTCTAAAATAAAATATGATGATTAGTCTAGTACAATCCTAAGATAGAAAATTGTTCACTCATGGAAGTTTGATTTCCATCTTTCTTGGGATGAGTCATGAATCATAATTTAAAATTGTTACCATTCTACCCAGCTAGATATGATCTTTTTAGGTTAAAAACAACCCATTTTTCATGAGTAAATAAATAAAAGAGGAGTCCAAAGCCTGGGGATTGCTTTCTATGCTTCCTAGCAATAACACCCTCCCTTCTTGTGTGTGTATATGGCATGGCTTTAGCACCATATACATGCGATAGGTTGTTATAGAATCAACAAGTTAGCAATCGTAAAGATGCACATACGACATACGAATTGAAGGTGGATTTGCATCTGCATTAGCATCCACATCTACTGCTCACAAGGCTGTGTATAACGGGTTGTATATCCAATCATGGGTTAATACCCCGGTTTCTTGAGGTCCCTTCTTCTATTAATGCACCGCTTTCTTGTCAAAGAATGTATGGTAGCCTCCTATCATGAAGTGACACAATGGGGTGCTTGGCTAAAGGCTTTCTAATTGTTTCTTTAGGCTTCTACCTAATTCTGCATGTTTTTGGACTGTTTTGGAACACTCTAGGGTGTTCTAGAGTGTTCTCCACGTGTCTAGATGTCGGTAGAACTCTCTAGAACCTTGTGGAACAATCCGGGTTTGTGTGGAACAACCTAGAGGGGTTGGGAGCAATCTAGACTTCCTCTAAAGTGTTCTTATATCTTATGGAGAAGGCATCCCCTAAAAGAGTGTAGAACGTAGAATGTTTTAGAGGTGCTTCTAGATGATGCTAAGTGTACATAGTTCTAGAGAAATCCTTTAAGAAGGTGGAGGTGCCTATAAAAGGGGACTCCCTCCCTTATTTGCATCGAGCATAAAAGCAGAGAAGTAGGAAGCAAGCAAACAATCAAACATTATATCCCTCTCTTGAGTAATACAAAGATTTTTTTGAGTTTTTCATCTCTTTTTCCTTATGTACTTTGTGTCTTTGTTGCCTAAGTGTGTACTTCAGTGTGAAGAACGAATTGATAAACTACTTAGTCCTAGGAGACAGAAGAGTGCTATAAGCAGGAAAAACTGACTTATGGAACAACAAACTACTGTCCTAAAGGGATTTAAGATTTTCCCTTACAAAATATGAAAGGGAGAAAAATGAGGAAACCCCATCAGAAGTCTCCCTAGGTTGACCTATAATTCCCGTAGCTTATTGATTTTCCATGATCTAATAATCATTTGCATGAAGTAAAAAAAAAAAAAAAGTTCAAGAAAAAATAATCATGATCTATCATTTTCCTTGTTCAAGAAATCCTACGAGTATTGAAAAACTACGCAGGCTAACGTGTACTTGTGAGAGGATAACCTGGAATGGCTCTAATAAGATAGAAACAAGATAAATATGCATGCCGGTTGGTATGATATGTAGCCCATGTTACACATGTTGTTATAAGCTAAGTTGGAGTCGATTCGGAGTAAGTTCTATTTTGGAATGATTTGGTGGTTTGTTGGGTTGAACCTTCGTCGAAATGCATGTTTCAATTAGGACAAAAATTAAAACTTGGATTTAGTTTTATCTGTTTAACAAGACGGTATCAAAGATTTGACTATCCGTCGACTCACCTTTAGCAGGTGGTTGTTGGCACCTATTCCTATACGACTTTGCATCTACCATGAATAATTTGTAACACCTCCCAATCACAAAATGAACGCTAGCATCCTTCTGTTACCAGGTGTATGTAATTTTTCACTGCAAGTGATCTCTCCTTGAGTCACATCTCCTTGGTGCTCTGCCCAGCCTTGTTTGGCTGGTATGGTTTGATTCGATTTGTCGGACTTAACTTGGCTCGTAAAGAAAATGAAAAGTAAAAAATAACAAAATATACTGTCAGTGATGAAAATTTACTGTTGGTTCACCTGCCGACTTGATCAAATTGGTTCATTGGTTAAAGCTTTGACCATATAGAGGAAATGTGCTTGAGACCAAAGAAGAGATAACCCTTATTTTTAACAATTAGTGGGGTTGCTGTAAATACGGGGACTGGATATAATTGGTACAATATAATAATTAAGCACGTCGAATGCACGTTTGATAAATATTCTATACAACTGTCAAAAGTTGTTTTTAATCTTTTTTAAGAATAACTTAGGGGTGTTTTTAAGGGACAAGTGTCAAAAAATTCTAAATGGTCATTAAAGGTTCTTACAATGTTATGCCTACCTGATCTGGATTGGTAAATGTCTGCCTACTCCAACATCTCATGTTTAATTCTTTCCGGAGTGCTACTTCCAGTTTTAGAACCTTCATGTTTTATGGAAAACCACATTGTCCTGTTCTTCTCTTCTCTTTTCTCTTAATCCCTGCAGAAAGGAAAGAGGGAGGGGGGGAGGGAGAAATATGAATATGGAATACTCCCTTTTGACTTCCGGTGCAGGAAATAAAAATTAAAGAAGATGAATTGGGCCTTACTTAGGGCTTGTTCAATGCCTCTTAATGCTGAATGCTGAAAAGTACTCATGCATTTCGGTTTCATTTCTCACTTCATTCTTAAATGTCATATCAGTGTTTATTTTCCACTAATTCTACTTTTTTGTTTTCCTAAATTACCCTCAAAAGCTTCTTCAATTCACATATAATCATATACTTTAATTAAAAATAAATGTATTATTTTTATTATAAAGAAAATTTATTATTTAAATATCTATTTAATAATTTCTTATTAATTATTAAGAAATAATGAATTAATTAATTATTAATTATTAATTAATTTATATGATTAATGAATTAAATAACAATTAACAGTTATGTATTTCATAATTAATTAATTAAAATAATAAATTTTTAAGTAATTTCTAAATATTTTATTTAATTAATGCTTAATATCTTAAAATAATTAGGTACTTAATTATAAAATAAGTATAATAAAAATTAATTAACTAATAATTTTTGTAATTATTTATTTTAAATATTAATTAATTAATAATTATTCAATTTTTTAAAAATATCTAATTATTTATTATTCTTATATTCATTTTATTAATTATTAATTAGTTTTTTAAATAATTAAATAAGCTTTCTATTATCCAAGGTTAAAGTGGTCAATTATCATTTTTAAGAACTCATCGTTCAGATATAACAACAACATTCTCTACATTCAAACTTGAGAGCTAAAAAAAATTTCAGAAACTCTAATATACCCCTAAAAGTAAAATTGAGAATTCAGTGCAAACGAAGAGTCCTTTACTTTAAAAAACAAGAAAAAAAAATGCATGAATAAAGATGAGTTGACACTTAACCCTTGATTGTCCCTTCTTTTTTATTAATTAATTAATTTTGACAACAAATACCAACTCCATTTGTTGAGAGACCTAACAGGGAAGGAATCTCTACATATTGGCTGGAGCTTGCAGGAGAGGAGAGTAATGGAGTAGCTTTCTTTGGCTAGTCCCTCTAGACCAGTTGACACCGGATTCATTGGGATCAGACAGTGATTTGTCCTAGGTGGCATTATATTAATGGTTGGAATAAATGTTAGAGATGAGCGTCATTCTCCCCCACAATTTCAAGTTGTCCACTGTGTTAATTACTATTAAACAAAACCCTAGATTAGCTAAAATTAATGGGAACCATGCCGAATGTTTTCTAAAGCTCTGCTTCCAAATATTATTAAAAATTCTCCGTTTATGCTCTCCACGGCGTCATGCTTGACATGACTTCCAATTTGTTATTATTAATAATTTTTATTTAGCGACGTGACGTCCTGCCAGGCAGCGCTCCCCCATTGTCTTTCTTCGACCGCCTTTCCCTCGATCTTTTCTCCAGTTTGAACCAAATTTGTTGACAATAACGCTCCCAATAATTAAGCCTTAATATAGTCTACAATTATGAACTTGGTTGGATCGTTGGATTATAGTAGAACAGTAGTTTCATGAGTGGCGTGTGGCGTGTAGCGTGGTGGGAGGGTTAGGGTAAATCAGGGGGTTAATACTACTAGTTAATGCAATAATGACATAATACTAACCCGTTTTTAAGGTGAAGTTTTATTAATCTTATTCATTCGTATGCATTTCATGTGATCCGCCTGACTTTACATGTTTTCATGCCATGCCATGCCATGCCACACCAGACTGCATATATAGCTTTCCTATTGGTTTTCCATTTTTCGTGCGGGCGGGTAGGACCATCACCTAATACGCGCTACTGATTCCACCATTTTACCAATATACCCCATTAAACTGCTGCTCCTTTTCCAGGTTTTTTTTAGCTTTTTCCCTCCAATCCATCGAGTTTTGCTTGTTTATTTAGTTAATAAAAGTGTGGGGACATCCGACTCCGAGCATTTGATGTTCAGGACGGAGGGATAGGTTGAGTTTATAGTTCTCATCTCAGCTCAGGAAAAAAAATAAAAAAGCAAAGGTCGTTAATGTCTTTTGAAGTGGTGAGTGGTGACACTTCTGTGATTAGCAGGTTAACTATCTTATGATCTCGTTTCTCAGAAAAGTTCACACCTGCGTCCCACAAAGTCCCACAGGAAATCCTTACCGTATATTGAAAACATCTTTTTATAATAGTATCAGAATCGATGATATCATCATCGGGAAATATTCTCAATACCCGATGGGAATGTGGTGTAGGACGTTGTGGGGCACAGATCTGAACTCTTCTTAGACCTCCATCAATTGATCTAAGACAAATATACATTAACCAGGCTCGAGAACTGCGAATTGAGTGTCGAGACTTGGAGATGCATTGCCCAACGGTTCAACCCTGGCTGCGCCTATCAGCATAGATGATAGAACAGCGAGGCAATGAAAGTAACAGTTTCGAGATGCCAAGGAGGGCAACGGTTTCATACAACGTCGTCAGTTTTCTACATTACAGCTACAGGAGGATATAGGCGCTACAACGACTTCAGTGCACGGTTTTGCTTTGCAAAGCTGCCCCCCTCCTTTTTCCCTTTACAACTCTCAACATTTCATTTGATTAACGGCAGAATATTACATTATTAATTGTGCGTTACATACCATTATGTCTAATAAATAGTATAATTGTCAGGAAAAAAGAAGCGGAAATGGCATTAGTGCACAACGCGTACAGGTTAGACTGGCCCGCTTTACAACTGAACCTTGTACCCCCAAAAGAAAATATATAAAAAAAATAATAAAGTAACTTAAACTTACTGTGTGTAGAGGGCAAATATAGTGGTCGTGTGTAAGTGTAACCCAAACCAACCAAGTAAAAGGAAAAGCATTGGATTCTTCCCATGTTTAGCAGAACTGTGACCATTTTTTCCCTTCAACTATAAATATCTATTTATGTGTATTTATCGCGATCAATTTTCCTTCCGTAAATTATTGCCTAAAATTAAAAGCTAAAAAAAAAAAAGATTTTTGGAAGTAAAGTGACACCCCTCCCCCAGGAAATTACTCAGACGTTATCAGCCATATTTCAGTCTTACAGGCTTTCAGCAATCAGCACCCAGGGGCATGCGCTTTCGATCTGGGACCATACATATCTAATCTGATCTCTATGCCTTTCTCTCTCCTTGTTAACTACTACGGATAAATTACAGACGGAGGGAGTTAGAGTGTACCACACAACACAAGATAGACGTTACATGGACCCATACATACACAAATCACGCAGAATCATGCAAATTTTAAATATATTCAAGAAGAAGCGGACAGTAATAAAAACAAAAAAGAAAGAAAGAGCAACTGAAGCTGTGTCTGTGTTTGTGTTTGTGATGACTCACCCGTTTGACCGTCAGTGGTTAGGTCGTCGATGGGAGCCGCGAGTTCGCTACCAGAGTTTGTTATAATGGTTTTTTTGGTTCAACCCTTAAAATAATAACTGAAGTTAGTTACCATTTTCACAACAAAATTAACCGCTTTTAAACAACCTTAAAACTAGAGAGAGAAACACACTCCACGCACACATCAATAAAACATAAACGGATCCCTCATCTTTAATCACGGGGAGAAAGAGAGAGAGAGAAGCGTGCAGACAAGGGAGAGGGATTTTCCGTAAAAGAAAGCAACCGACGACGGACGGACTTCTCCGGTCAATACCGTTTGACCGAGTGGTGATCCTTCTTAAATACGACAAGCTGGGCAAACGCAAACTGTACACAAGGTAAATATAAACTAATAAAATATACATCCTATTCGCCAAACAGGCCACAATCCAAAGGGTAGTACTTGTATTTATATATTCAGGCTCTCTGTTGTTACAAACTGACGAGACAATTCTTTGTATAGCCTTCTCCCTTGTACAGGAGATGAGAACGAAGGGGAGAGAGCTTTGTTACCGTAGTTTTCATCACTTTCAAAAGGATGAAACAACCCTCAAGAGGAAAACAGATTTCGCTGTAGAGGTTATCCTTGACCGGAAAAGGGCGAGAACGCCGCCGGTTGCCGTTGGAAAATCTGATTTTTTTGATGGATTGCCTGATGACCTTATAGTTTGTATCCTCTGCAAGCTCAGTTCCACCGCTGAATGTCCTTCCGATTTTATCAATGTTCTTATTGCGTAAGTCTCTCTCTAATGGCCTGATTTATGGCTGAATCTCTTTCTAGTAACCTTAGGATTTGTTTCCTCTGGTCTCTGATTTTTCCCTTTTGATTTTATTGCTTCAATGAAAACAGAACAAAATTATCTATTTATCGCAAAAGAAGCCACTCCAATATGTAACATTGGTTGGGAATTTTTCCCACCTAAAAACTGAATTTCCTTCATGTTCTTTTGAGGGAGCTTTTTTTTTCCCTGCAGATCGGCATTTCCAGTACTTTAAAATAATTTCTTTTTTGTTAAGTGTAATTCCAAACTGAAAAAAAAGGAGATTTTAGGTCTGTATTGAAAATATCAATTTGTTCTCTCTCTCTCTCTATTCCTTCTGATCTTTTATTTTCACAACAGGTGCAAGAGACTGAACAGTTTGGGTCTTCATCCTCTCGTATTGTCGAAAGCCTCTCCAAAAGCGTTTTCCGTCAAAGCCAAAAACTGGTCTGAATCGTCTCATCGATTCTTAAAACAGTGTGCAGATGCCGGCAACATAGAAGCTTGTTATACCCTCGGCATGGTTAGTATATTATCTCAAATTTACAAATTGAAGAAATGACTGTGCTCCAAAATTTCGCAACTAATCATTATTTAGTATCATTTCCTAATTCCATTTTCCTTTTCACGCGTTGCAGATCCGTTTCTATTGCTTACAGAACCGAGGGAACGGAGCTTCGCTGATGGCTAAAGCTGCCATCAGCTCGCACGCTCCAGCGCTTTACTCGCTTGCCGTCATCCAGTTCAACGGCAGCGGCGGGACCAAGAACGACAAGGACCTAAGAGCCGGCGTCGCACTCTGCGCCCGAGCTGCCTTCCTGGGTCACATCGATGCCATCCGCGAACTAGGCCACTGCCTGCAAGACGGCTATGGTGTCCGGCAAAACATCGCCGAGGGGCGCCGATTCCTCGTCCAAGCCAACGCCCGTGAACTCGCATCTGTACTGTGTTCCGCCACGTCATCGTCTCCGTCGTCGCGCCTGTGGCTGACTTGGCAACCTCAGAGGTATCATCACCATCAAGTTACGGGTGCGGGATGTCCGTTACTCAGCGATTTCGGGTGCAACGTGCCTGCACCTGAGGCGCACCCCGCAAGCCAGTTTCTGGCAGAGTGGTTCGCGTTGCGGGGGGGAGTGCCGGGCCCGGGGCTTCGGCTTTGCTCTCACTCTGGGTGTGGTCGGCCGGAAACGAGGCGACACGAGTTCCGTCGTTGTTCGGTGTGTGGAGCGGTGAACTACTGTTCCCGCGCGTGTCAGGCTCTGGATTGGAAGTTGCGTCATAAGGCGGAGTGCGCGCGCATAGAGCAGTGGTTTGATGGCGATATGGACGGTGAGGAAGAAATAATCGGCGTTGAGGATGAGGAGGAAGAAGAGGAAGAGGAAGAGCATGCCACCGATGAGAGTTAAGGGGGTGACGGTGACTGAAATTCAGTATAGTACTTTGAGTGAGCCTCTGTGGAATTAATTTAAGTGTTTTAGTTTGGTAAATAGAGAGGGTTTTCCCCCGGTTTGCTTTTTGGGTTTTCCTTCCGTTTCCCTGACTTTGTATAGACTATAGATAGATTTATTGAGGGAGATTATTTTTGGAAATCGGCTGCGATCGAGGGTTTCATTTTGTACCATAGAAGAAGATAACTTGGCAAGGTTATTCTCGGAAAATTGGAATAGTACAATTTCTTTGATTATCTTCTACTCTTGGTCTTGGCTTGGGTGTTTGAACTTTGAACTGAGGCTTCAGCGTCTTCCGAGATATTTTCAATTTTTATTTTAATGCATTTGCAGAAAAATAAAAATAAAAAGCATGGGAGAGAAGGGCAAGGGTTGTGGAATGATGGAAGGCCTCCTGTAGGGATTCGACTTTTTATGATGAGGAGGCACATGGAATCGTAGTGCAAGTGGAGACAAAAGTCTCCATTGTACTACCTACTGTCTTGAGAGTCGGTACTGTGCGGATGTTAGACTAACATTTACTTGCTGGTTGTGATAAATTAATTTAATTTAATTTAATCTATCTTCAGCACGAAAAAAAGAAATATGCTTCGTATGCACAATGTTTTACAAAACAGAAATATTTCCAGAAGAGAAAATAATTCATTCTCACACCCTTGTTAATTAATTGATTAATTATTCTATCCTTATTGCAAGTGAGGCCACCCAAAATTAAAGATGGTTCATTTGAGTTAACCCAAAATTAAAGTAAAATAAAGACGGATCATTTGGACTTCAGTTCGTCTTCGTCCTCTTTTTTCTGGCTACTAGTGAGAGATGGTTTTTGTATCGCTTTTAAATGACATCAATGGACTATAAGCTCTTCAATGTGAATTACTGTTTTTTTTTTTTCTTTTGAAAGCAAATCAAAACCATCTTACTTGAAAAGTAAATTGGTTTTTAAAACAAAAAAATATAAAAGAAGATGTTCTTTGTTATACATATTTTAAAGAAGGGAAAATTGAGATAAAAATGGGGGTAATAGCATGTGAGTGCAATTTTTGGGGTTTAATATCAATCAAAGTAATATATTTAAAAAATAGACTAACTTTTTAAAAATAATATCAATAAAGGACAATTCATCTTCTTCTTCTTGCCATTTGTTCACTAGAGCCACCGCCCACCACTATCGTCCACAGTTTCATTTTTGGTTACAACTCTCAATCTTTCATCATTTTTCACTAATCATAGGATTTGATGATTTCAAAACATGAGTTGTTTCATGAAACAAAATCAACTTGTTTTAAAATAAATGAAAAGAGTAACATTTACATGGTATAAGACCCACTTAAAGTAAAGTTTTGTTAATTTTCAAATGAACACTATTTGGCAGGTATGAAAAGAGAAAGGTGGAGAAAGTAAGTTGGTGAATGGGCGGCAACAAGAGGAATCCGAGGTTTATTAAGATCTCTGCCCAACTTTTTTCCTTGTATTCTTTTCTTTTTTATTTTTCAGTTTTTCTCGTTGTCAAAATGATAGAGGAGGAACTGACCTCACGAAGCCTAAAAAAGGGGGGAAAAAAGAAAAAAAACAAAAACACGGTGAAAGCAATGCAAAAATGTTTATGCAACACTATGCCTGCATGTGCCAAGTGGGATGTGGCGCTTTTTTTTTCTTCTATTAAAAAAACAGTTAAAGGAAAATGATTTATGACCCATTACTTCTTTGTTTTCTTTTTTTTTTTTGGAAAAATCTCAATTAATAACTTATACTTTGGCCTAATGTTATTTTGGCTCATCATTGCCTCTTTCATTCAAAAAAGTTGGGGTCATTAAAATTCCCACTGAGACATAATCCCATCTTTCTTGAATAGAAGAAGCAAAGATTTGGGACTGTTAAATTTTTTTCAACATTTGAATGGTTTATTAAGAAAATTAGATAACACTCAAAAGACATTTGTGTATTTTTCAAATACCACTTAACAGTTAGTTAATGATAGGTATTAGATTAACACGTTTTCAAAGTTCAAATACTGAATTATCGTATTTTAAAATTTGGAGAACAAAATGACACTAAACTCAAAATACAAAATTCTAATCGAAAATTTTCCTTTGTTTTCTGTTCTTTTTTTTTTTGTACTCTATGGCCCATTCCTTCCAGACCTCCAGTCCCGTCACGAGCCACGCAGTCAAAGATACTTGCATTCATTTCTATATTACCCTTATGAGCTGTGGAATTTTATTTTTAACTCTCAAATCAAAATTTCATGTATCAAATAGTGTTGTTGTTAAGTAGTAACTTTGAACCATTGAATTTGAACCACTTACACCCTATTACCCAAAAAAAATAAGGGTAAATCTTTTAAATTATCTCTATTGTTTAGCGTAATAACATGTGGTACTTCTACTGTTTAGCTATTTTCTTGCGGTACCCTTAAATTTTTTGACAATTATCATTACCCTCAAGGGAATGAAACCAAAATGTCAAATGTGTCATCTTCTTTCTCTTCAATGAAACAAGGTCTCTGACAGAAATTAGGACTCTTCTTCTTCAATGGTGCAAAATATTAAGGAATGGGAAGCCAATTCTTCCACAGAGGTTTGGTCAGCAGATTTGTTTCATTTCCACCAAGACTGTTGCCAGTACCGGCAGCGACAGCGACAACGGAAACGGTGGCTGTGGTGACATCTATGGAACGCAATACCGTATTCATGATCAGAAAATTTGGAAGTTCAAAAGAGATCTAAAGAACAAATTCTATAGTTGCAGAGAGGAAGACAATTTTTGAAAAAGTGATGAGAATAAGTTCTAGTTTCCCCATTAGCGCACTTTGATTCTGTGAAGTCGTTAGGCTTCGTATGAAATTGCATTGAAGACTTCAAGTCTATCGGAGGTCGATCGCAATGCGAAGTTGCAAACTCAAATAAGGTAAGCCTTTCACTGAGATCCTCGGCGAGCTTCTGGGCTACGACATATTCAATGTGGATGGGGAGCTATGGCGAACTCAGCGAAAGTTAGTAAGCCATGAGTTCACGACCATATCCCTGCGGGAGTTCGTGGTGAAGACGCTGGTGGAAGAGGTGGAAGAGCGGCTGCTGCCCTTATTGGAGTCGGCTTCGGCGAATAATAAGGTGGTCAACATGCAGGAGCTGTTAAGGAGGTTCGCGTTCGACACGGTTTGTAAGGTGCCGTTAGGGATGGACCTGGTTGCTTGGACGCCTAATGGCTTTTGGGGTAAAACGGACGATTAGTGCATATTTACAAAATGGACCAACATATTGTATTTCTCCTTGGAGTCGTATTCCAAATTCCTTTTTAACTTTTGCCTTGACCAGGCCAATAAGATCAAACTTCTCTCGGGAATTTGAGCTGCCGGTTTTGATGAAAAAGCTCTAAAGCCTTTCAGCCCAGCCTTCTCAATAAGCTCCCCTGCTGAAAATCTCATGTTAGGAGGATTTCTGAACACCGATCCAGCAGTTCGTTCCCCCACAGGCTGAGACAATCGCCTTCTGTAAATAAAACCATATCCCATTGGCATCTCTGAGGACAACAATAAAGAATTCAAGAAGCAAAATTTGAAATCCTTGTTACTTTATCAGGTATGCTTGTTGACGCTCCTTTGCTGATGCTGAAGGCAACAGACGAAGTGTTACGGCCACAATTGCTGCCAAATCTTGCATCGCTTGAGAGGGTGACATGTGGTACCCAAAGGCGAGATCACTTCTGTACAAAATTTTATGCCCCCCATCCACTGTAACGATCTCAACTGTATCGATGGCATCGACAGTCTCCTATATAATAAACATATAAAAGATCGTAGACCCTCACTGGTGTGGTCTCTTGACAAACAATTCCAACCAGGTCGGAGCAGGACTTACCTGTCCATTGGTTCCAGCGTTCATATAAGCAGCTCCACCTACGGTCCCGGGAATCCCAGAAGCAAATTCAAGACCAGAAAAACCTTCATTAGTGCACTGCACGCCTAACCGATTGAACTGGTAACCACTTCCGACTCTGTAGATGTCGGGTTCGATCCGCTCTGGAAAGCCAATCCGGTTCAGAATAACACAACCTTCAAACCCAGAATCATCGAAAAGACAATTGGAGCCATTACCGACGATAATAAAAGGGATGCAACGCTCACAACAGTATCTGCACTGATTGTAAAATCAACTCAACTAAATTAGTAACGAGAGAATGTAGCAACTAATATACTAGAATAGAGCAACACACCGAATAGCAGAAGCGAGTAAGGTTTGATCGGAAACTTGGACGAAGTAATTGCAAGGGCCTCCGATACCCCAACTACATAGTTCACTAAGTAGCTTCTTCCCACGAATAAAATTCAAATGTGTCCAATTCTCTGTTTCATCTTCTATCCTCTCACTAATGCAATTGAAAGCGGTTCTGCTGGGTATTCTTGTGGATGCATTTTGCAGGGGATAGAAGTGGTTGGAGAGAGAGGAGAGAGGGTTTCTGGTTAACCTGGGAGTGGAACGGTTGCAGAGTGGTTCACTGTAGCTGCCGCAGGGGAGAGGGATGGTGAAGAAGAAAGGGAAAAATTGGGTTTTGAAAAAAATTCATTCACGTCACGTGGTGTCACATGCATGAATTTCGACGGAACATTAATGGATATTAACGGCAGCAAGACAATAGTTAAACAGTTGGGGGACCGCGTGTCATTATGCTAAACAATAAGGGTAGTTTAAGAGATTAACACTTACACATCAGCCCAGTTATTGTATTGGCAATTTGGCACCCGAGTATCACATTAGCCTCCATGGGGCCCATTCACGTTACAAGATGCACACTTTGGAGGAATCACCATTCACTAACACCACAAGCCTATATCCATTTGTTGAACCAACACCCACCACAAGTCTTACAACCAACCATATTCGTGGTGACCTTTGGGGCATTCTTTTTTTGGATTTTGAGATGGGGAAAGTTGGTCAATGCGATTTTGGTTCCTATTGATCAAGAATCACATATTCTTTTTTCAGATTAATGTGAGGACCAGAAAATTTATTTTCTTAGTACCCATTTCCTAGGTGGGTAAATAACTTTTACCACTTGGGGGAAAGTTTTCAACAAATGAATGGGACAAAAATGCCCCTTTTAATAATGAATTTTTATGGTTAAAATGGTTATTTCATTTTTTATTTGGGAAATAAAAGAACATGGATAAATACACTTACCTAGGTAAGTGTTTTCTAGGAAAAAAACTTACCCAAGTAATTGCATTTACCCGGATAAATAACTTGCCAAAAAGTGAACAGGGCCTTGGTGGCATCCCACCATGCACCCTCATCGGAACCATCATACACCATCTTTCCACATCCCCCACAAGCCACAAGGCACCTACCCACACGGCTATACGTTGTAGTTTGTAGCATTCCCGAGCAATGGGATGCATGGAAGTGGTGGTCAACTGGTGATTCATGAGCCTTGGATGATGTGGAAATGCTGTGAGCAAAATTCAAAATATTGCAATGTATTGATTGATGTGGGTCTCTACCACAGCGAGGAGGAAGGCATGGTTAGAGGTATCAACTGGACTAGATTTGGTTCAATCCGATCCAGTTCAATGTGAATCCATTACAAAATGGACCAGGTCCGGTCTATTATAATGAATATTTTGGACCAGTCCAATTCAATGTGCGGACCATCCAATTTGTTTTAATTTAGATTGGTTTCAATCTAAACTTGGTTCATTGACACCTATATTCTTATCTTATATCAATGGGCCAGATATTGGATCAATCCAACCCAATCCAATAAACATTCATTACGGATGGACCTGATCCAATCCAATCTAATAAATATTTTGGACAATTAAAGTTAAATCTGGTCCAATTCAATATGTCTTGTTGCTCCATCCAAATCGATTTTAATTTGGACGGGTCCAATCTAAATCCGGTTCATTGACACTCTTAACCATGGTGCATTGAGGGCATAGCCTTTCTTTTGGTAAATGTAAAATACTGAGGTCATTTCTATGTGGATTGAGAGAAAAAGAGGGATGCTAGTAAAGCAAGGATATATTTGGTATTGGAGTTTAGATGAAGCTGTCCTTTTAGACCTTTCACTTGTTCTGTGTTTGGAATGATGGGCGTTTCTTGATTAAACATTTTGTATTTGATTTATTTGGAAAATCAATAAAAATAATAATGAATTTGTTTATTGACACTTAAGTGCTATTAGACGTTAATTAGTTTTATTTTAACAAAAACCTTCCTTGGATTTTTAAATAATTCGACAAAAGCCTCCCTTCCGTCAATGACCCAGACGAAAAACGGTAGGCCAATGCATCATTTTTTTGAAATACCCATTTTACCCTTTAATTAGTTTATGTATATTTATATTGAAATACCCCTATCTACCTGTTACGTCTTTTCCTCTCCTCTATCCTCTTTTCCTATCCCTGAACTCATATTTTTACTGAAATACCCTATCAACTTGTTATCCTCTTTCCTTCTCCTCTTCTATTCTCGAACTCCACCGTCTGAAGAGGAGGAATTCAACTGTTTCAATTTATCATTCCAACACATACGGAAACCTGTTGAATGATATACCATGTTCTTATAGAGCATTTTTCTTATAAAAAATCTTTAAACCAGAGAACCTACACAGAGAATTAATGCTTTAATGGAGATGCCAACATCTCTATCGGGCCGAACGTATCTTTCACAACCATATCTGGCGGTCGTAATTTTTTTTGCGGATTAAGGTCTGGAGGGAACAATCTGCTCTGTTGGAATTGGGACTTTGTACCCAAAAGAGGGTCTACTACAATGATGCGATCAAGTTGAAGATGTCACAGTGGGCGATGACCACGTCCGTGCGTTGGTGGACAGAACCAGAGTTGTCAAGTGTTGCAAAGGGGAGAAACAATTTTCCGGCACTAGGGGAAGGTGAAGGTTTTCTCTCCATTACGTCAAGGCGAGGGATTTCTTGTATTTTGAACACAAGTCGTATAGTCAAGTGTCAGGGTACCAGACAAATTGGGCAGGAGATACAGGGCCAGTTCGGATAATAGATATTGTTGAATCAATTTTTGGTTATGTATCAGTTTTTTGGTTAAGTACCTCGTCATTTGGTCTGCTTCCAAGTGACCAATGACTCAGAGGCCAAAGTTGAGAACTTTTGCTAGATGAGGACCTGAATGTCGAGCTGACTAGGCCGAACTACCTGTGAGTAGACATGTTCATAGGCCGGCCCGGCCCCCGGACAGGCTTGAACAGGTATATGGGCCCGCGGGCTTAACCTCGGATCAAAAAGTCTGGCCCACAATAAATTCAAGCCGGGCTCGGGATTTGCCAAAATAGCCCGGCCCAACCTAAAAGCCCTAGTCGAATACCCCCCTCTTTTTTTTTACCTCTTTGCCTCTTTCCCTTCTTTTTCCAGTCGAACCCTTCTTCTCCAATCTCCACATCCTCCACACTCCACAGTGAGGTGGCGAACGTTCACCGGCGCAACAACTCCAGCGGCGACGGTAAGTTCTCTCTCTCTCTCTCTCTCTTAGGCACGAACTGATCAATGATCACTGTCAAAACCTGAGTTGCTGAAACCAGTCCTCGATTTCGAACCACAAATGACAGTACCTAGGAAGCTTTGTAAGCTCAAAAGTTCAGTGAGAGCCTTAGCCTGTCGAATTCCTCTGAATTGGATTCTCCGTTGTCGGAAGACAACGGCAATGATCTTAGCGCATGACACGTAGTTCAGTATGCCCACAAGGCCTCTGGGAGCCGCTCATGCCAATCTTTCTTGTTTTTGTCATCTTCAGGATTTTGCACAGAGTTTTGTTGAACGCTTCTGCTAGCCCATTTGCGGCAGCGTAGTATCTTGAAGAAAGGTTTGGCTTGATATTGTATTTGGCATACAACCGGTAGAGGGGGCTACTTCTGAAGGGTTTGCCTGTTAAAGGAGATGATGTTGTCTAGAATTCCAAACCGATGATGTCGAAAGACTGCCAAGGATTTAAGAGGGGTCAACGGAACTGGAAGTCGAAGATTAGAGAGTTCATGGACTCGCAGATGAGGAAGTTAATGGAGATGCAAGAGGCCTGGCTGGAGAAAATGCTGAAGACTTTAGAACACAAGGAACAAGAGAGGATGTCCAGGGAGGAAGAATGGAGGAGGCAGGAGGCAGCCCGGTTGGATAGAGAACAAAAGTTATGGGCTAAGGAGCGAGCTTGGATTGAAGCTCGAGATGCTGCATTAATGGAAGCCTTGAGGAAGTTTACAGGAAGAGAACTAAAGAGCTCCTTCACTGAAGAGTTGGTGGCCCCAAACCTCCACGATAACAATGAAAACCAGAATGAGAATGCAAGTGAAACACTTGATAGCACCATGAACAGTAATAGATGGCCGAAACACGGAAAATTTCTAATTTTTTTATTAGGTCGGGTTCGGGCTTCGGGCTTTTTATCAGGGTCGGGGTCGGGCCCAAGTTATAGGCCCGTTGGTCGGGTCGGGCTTGGGCCTAACGTATTTCCATTAATGAAGAGTAAAAGCCCGACCCGACCCGGCCCATGAACAGGTATACCTGTGAGATGCCGGGCTGACCAGGTGTCGAGCTGCCTATGAGGTGTCGAGCTGCCTGTGAGGTGTCAAGCTGCCTGTGAGGTGCTGGGCTGACCAGGTGGCGAGCTGCCTGGTGGCGAGCTGAATTGATGAGTTGCGTTGCTCTTTAGAGACCTGCGAGCTGCCTGCCAAATGTCAAAGGACCCGGGGTGGCTAACTCGGCGAGGTCGCTCCGATGCTTAAGTCAGTACTCTCATAGTAGACTGCGAGCTAAAAATCACAAAGTCTAAGAGCTAGTATTTGCTTACTTGCTGGCACCATTGCCTCTGGGGTTGGTGCCTTTATGTAGGCATTGTTTGGTGTGGGCTTCACGCACCATATCCGAGATTTCTGCGAGGTCGTCTAAGTGGTTCGAGATTCCTAGAGGTAGCCGCCATGCACGTTGACCACCCTCCAAATCGTTCGGCACGTGGGCCAACTTCCAAGGATCGTGGGAGTGTTAGGATATGCATGTCGAATTCGTCGGCGAGCACGTCTTACAAGTCGCGAGGTCGGCGCATGTGCTAGGTCGCCAAGTCGGTGCCTGTGCCAAGCCGCCAGGTCGTGCCAGGGTCAGGCCACGCCTGTGCCAGGCCACGCCAGGGCCAGGCCGCCAGGTGGGACACCATCAACTTGGCTAAGGCAAGTTGTTGCCAAAGTGGTTCTGGGTGTCACCTAGTTGTTCTGAGGTGCCATGTGTCACAATATCATTGGAGGGCCAAATTCGCCCTCATCATTTGCCCCCCACTCCCAAGGTGAGAGTAACTCGGTGAAGGGAGTAAATTTCTCCTTTTGGCCCGAAATGAATAATTTGATGAACTCGTAAGCGTCGATTCAATTCCTTAGTCTTTGGGAGCGACTCGTAATTCGCTCCTTGATTTTGCCCATGCCGAAGAGGCGACTGGGTCTTATGTGGTGAGGAGGTCTTCGCTAGTTTGGTATTTTGGCCCTTAAGCTTTGGGAGCGACTCGTGGTCCACTCTCCTTGATCTTGCCCATGCCGAAGAGGCGACTGGGTCTTATGTGGTGCCGAAGTCTTTGTCAGTTCGGCAACTTAGGCCTTAGGCTCTAGGAGCGACTCGTAGTCCACTCTCCTTAATCTTGCCCATGCCGAAGAGGCGACTAGGTCTTGTATGCCCATGTCGAGGAGGTGATTGGGACTTGTATGCCCATGTCAAGGAGGCGACTGGGACTTATCGTAGTGCCAAGGTCTTTTATCAGTTCGCGCCTGGGCCAGGCCGCCAGGTCGATGCCTAGGCCAGGCCACGCCAAGTCGGCTCCTTAAAGCTACGGTTGTGCTGCATCAGCCTCGTTAGTGATGTCGGTTACCCACTCCTACAAGAAGCTACTAGGGGCTCGACCTACAGGGGCAACACTACTGACTTTAGGTCACTAGCTCGCACGGGAGCCTTGAAAGGCTCGACCGGCAGGGGTGTCCATGCAGTTTGTTGGCCGCCTACTCCTGCAGAAACCACGAAGAGTTCATCTTTGTAGAGGGTACCTCGCGAAGATGACTGATGAGGTTTTATCCGAGTTGAAATAAAGTTGGGAGAGTTGCTTAGTCTGTTAGCCATCAACTTCGTGCGTAGTCTTTGAGTTCATAAAAAAATGAAAATTATAAAGCGAGAGCTTTAGTTTCTAAAAAGTTAGGACTTAGCTTTTTGGGATAAGAGGATTTAGCTTTTGGTAGAGTGAGAACTTAGCTTTTTGTAGCGTTCCCACTGACAACACCAGATATATCCATAACCTGCAAATATCATTAAAAGAATCATGAAGATAGAAGGCATCACTCTTGGATTTTAAACTCTGATAATATCTAAATCTTATGGACATCTGCATCCCTTGTTTAGGCACCCCGGTAAGGGCATCAGATGTTAATATTTTCCTTGAAAGGCATCAGATAAGAAAACCGGTGTGAAAAACAGTTGCCGAAAACATGAGCTTCAAAACGTAAAGATGAGATCACTTGTTGGTCAAGAATAACTTCCAGCGAAGAACAGTTGCCAGAAAAATGGATGGAATAGTCAAGAATGAAATAAAATGAGGGATAATGTCGTTGCAATAGATAAGGTTTAATGATACTTTAGGGGTAATTTTGTAAATATTGACGTTTTCCATTTGGCTCATTGACGAAAGGTTTTTATCGAGTTATTTAAAAATGTAGGGGAGGTTTTTATTAAAGTAAAATTATAGGGGAAGTTTTTATGATTATCAGAAACTTTATGAAAGATTTTTATATTTTACCTATTCATATAATGGGGAAATGCTGAAGTAACGCCTATGTGACAGGCTGACAGCGTTTATTAATAAACGCCCAAGTTTCCAAACACCCTATAGGTTAGTGGTGGGTTACCTCAATGGGCCCGGCCCATTAAAAATGTTCAACCCGGGTCCATGTCCATTCAATTTTTATAATATTGGAAATAGAAGCTATTTTGATTTTTGAGTTTTCGCTTTTCGTAGGATAAAAATTGGTATTGATTTGACGGTCTGGATTTAATCGTTAGGGGTACGCGCTTCGTATTTTTTTTAGTTATTAACTTATTATGCATAAAAGCATCGTTCTTGTATTGCATAGACCGAAGTCGGAAGTCGCTTTCCCCGGATATCTGCTGCACGCATTCTTATCGCTGAACAGAGGTATTTCCAATCTTATAAAATCTGCAGTCGATTTAGGTTTTGACGTTTCAGTCTCGGTAGTATTTCCATTTGTTACTATTAATTTTAATATTTAATGTTTTTCTTGTGTTGGTTATTAGGTCGAAATTGTTGTTTCTTCCTTTCTGTTGGGGATATCTATAGAAATCTAGGGTTCAACTTTCATGCGTTCTATATAATGTTAAATTTTTTTCAGCTAATTCTGACATGCTTCAATTAGTTGGGGGGGGAGGGGATTAAAAGGGATTTCCGTTGATCAGTTATGTCATCTACATTTTTTCGAAGCTGCTTGTCACTGAAAATCACTGTGAATTTCTCCGAAGTAACTCAGTCAGGATATCCATTTTTTTGGCTTATATATTCTTACTAGAAAGATGATTGAATCAATAACGTTTTTGGTATTGTTTTGCTATAATCAATCACTTGTGTTGGATAGGTTAGGGGATAACTAGAAGAAGATGGCATTTGTGATGGAGTTTGCTGAGAACTTAATACGGAGGATGATGGAGGATCCAAAGGAACGTGATCGGAAGTTTAGAGAGCATGTATATGCAGTCAAGGACCGCTGCAACAAGACCAAGGAGATGTGGAACTTACCTATCCGTCCATATGGATTCTGGACGTTTGAGCGCCATAATTCCCAACTCTATTGGGATGCCCAGATCAGCCAGGTCCCAGGGCGTAGGGACCCCTATGACGACCTTCTCCAGCAGCCATATGACAACACCACCCCGAAATGAATGAAAGGTCAGAGTCTCAACATAGTTGTGGTTTCTGTAAATTCACTTGTCTTACTGCCTTATGGAGAATTCTTTCCTCTTGTTCTGCTCTATTTCTATTTAACGATATACTGAAGGGTGGTGATCTATCAACTATTGACCTCAAACTTTGGCATTTCGAATATTTTTTTTTACATCTTTTTAAAATCAGTATCAATTATTTATTACTATACTTTTAAATTTTCTGGAGAATCATCCTTTTTCGCCTTATGCTGGGCTATTTGGAGAGAAGGAACATTTGAAGATAAGTATGACCAAGAAATAAATTAGTTGCTGGCATTTGATTGTTGATCATCGATTGGCTGCAGGCACATTTTCCGTTCAAAGAGTTGGAGAGGGTTGTTTTTTAATCCCAAGACTTTGTGGTTCTTTAGTCACAGATTTATTGATTTAACAGAAGCATCATCTTAAGTGAGTGTCAATGTGCAGATGTGTATAATGCCCATTCTGAAGTTTTTATTTCACCTATGATACCCAGACTTCATATTATCCAAGTTCCTCTGTTGGACACAACTGACATGGATATGGGTATGAGATATATGTTGGTTTCTCCAAACCCATGTTCACCTTTGTGGGCACCAAGGTTTGATGAACTGGGTACTTATACACTTAATTGGACCAACATAAATTATTAACTAATATGGTTAAAATAAGTATTAAATTTGGAAATTCAAGCTTGTAAGTATATAATGCTGAATCGAAATTCCCCTTAGACCTCATAAAATGTGGATATCTTATACACTGTTATGTTATATGTTTGGAGTTGTCATGTGACAATCTGAATTGTTGTTGATACTTCCTTTTTTGGTTATCAATATAATAGAGCATGTCTAAATTAAACATATCTTGCTTGCATGGTTAGAAATTAATATTTATTGTCCAATGTATGATACTATGATGTGTCCATATTTCAGTACTAGTTGGCATGATTAATTTTTAAGCCCATTTCCCTGTATCACAAGATTTTGATGTCAGATGAGCCCAACTCCTAGAAACATTCCTGCCCTGAACACTTTCACCCTAGTTCATGTAATATAGGCTACCACTTTCCACCTTTAGCTAAGAATCACCTTCTTCTGTCGAGTAATCAATCCTAAGTGAAGCCAACTGTTAATCCTTGCAATAAAGATAGAATTTTTGCCTTAAGAAAGCCTACTTCTGCAATTGTGCAAGGTATATACCAATGCGACCTATCTTGCAGCTCCTTTAGAAGCACCTTCTACTTTGTAGGTGTCTAGATTGTTTAACAAATATCCATCAGTCACCCTTCCTCTTGTTGGTGGATCCTAATCCTAAAGCCAAGGACATCTATAGGGAGCCTAGTTGGCAATTGTTCGTCACCTTCTAACGATAGAATCCACCAAAGCTTCTTTAAGCTCCACACCCGTTAATGCCCAATGAGAACTCTATTGTTAACATAATCTTTGATGATATTGGAATAGGTGATTATTCTTTTCTTTTTTGTGAACTGTAAGGTAAAGTATTTCATTAATAACAAAAGGCCCCTGTACAATAAGAGACTGTACAGCAGAAATAGACAGAAGAACTCAGAAAAGCCAGCCTCTGAAAAACTACCCAACAAAATGCACAGAATGCTCGATTAAGGGGATGATTTTGACAAAAAAGCACATGGGTTTAAGTAGTGATTTAAGTGCTTATAATTTAACAATGGATATGGCACTTAAGGGAATGGAATGGCAAAACAGGATTCATGCAACCAACCACGTAGTTGGGATAAGGGTTAGATGATGAAGTAAAGACCATTCCACAAGCCTTAATTGGAAATGGTTGTGGCTTAAGAGGATTGAAATTTTAACATTTTGAGGAAAGAGAAACTCGAAAGGATATAGAGGGTTGATTGATAGCATTCTACCATCACATGCATGTTTCAAAGAGGGACGTCCTTTAGGGTGTGTTTGGAAATGGTGTAAATGCCGGAAATGGTGTAAATGCCGGTTCGATGTACTATTGCACTCCAGTCCTGACTTGCGTGTGTTTGGGAACGATGTGAAAATACCCTTAAAATCGAAGTAAATTTAAAATCTTGTCAGAATTTGCTTCGATCTTCAACCTGTGACAGTGGCAAAGGAGGTGACGAACTCCCTCCCTCCAAACTATTCACTCCCACCACCGACCTCTTTTCCTCAGGTAATCTCTCCTCTCTCATCCTCTCACTCTCATATCTCTCTCTTACAACCATCGTTCGTCTCCCCCTTCCTGTTCTCGTATCTACCCGCCACTGCCGTCGCAACTCTTGGCAGTGGTTCAGTGATCTCTCTCTCTCTCTCTCTCTCTCATATCTACCCACCACCACCGTTCATTGTCCCTCACATCTCAACCTAACCTTGACGGCCACGTCAGGTAAAGCCTATCTACACACATTTATCGCATCCTCATTGTCTTCCTTTATATGATAGTGATTCTCCTCAGGTTTCCTCTTCATTTTCTCCCTCATATACGACACTGTCAGTCAGTTCTTCATTCCCTGTTTTCCACCCAAGCTACAGCAGCGGTGATTTCCGGTGAGGTACCACCATTTTCTGAAATCCCATTTATATTCCGACATCTACCTCCAAGAACAAACGATCTGAATGCACGATCACACCCCTATTGCAACATCCCACATCAGGCTGATATATAATTCAGAGACGATGATGGGGTTTTGTAGAGCCATTCTCTGTGAAAATTTTGGCCAACAACAAATGTGGTGACAGGTTCATATCGTACCTCTTTCTTTTGTCTTTTATATATTGTTATCGGTTTTGTTTAACATTGTTGCTTCCCAAATCTTCATGTCTAAGTATACTTGTCGTGAGCGGTTTGAATATCAGAGATAGGCTCTTTTTTGCTAGTTTCTGGTTTTGATTAAACGTGTGGTTTTACTTCCCGGTTCAGTTGCATTGAATAGGATGATTTGGGATTGAGGGAGTTGTATAGTTTAGCCACTCGGGACTGAGATAAGAGGTTTTAAATCTGTTGTGTAATTTGATGCAACTGGGATGGGAGAAGACGATCGAATCCTTGTTTACATCGTTATAGGTTTCCGAATGCCGTCAAAAGTGCACTAATGTTTTACATCATTGCTGTCAAACAAGATGGGAGGAAATCAAACATACAAAAGTAAACCGGTATGTATTTTTTGAAACCGGTAGAATGTTAATTTACCCCGACAAATTTGCATTTACATCGTTTTCAAACACAACCTTGGAGAGTTGGTTCATCACCTCGTGACATGGTGTCGTAAAGCCCTCTTCCGAAACCAAAAGTCCTTGGTATTCCTTAGGGTGAACAGTTTATTCACGAACTGCAGTCTTTCTAACCAGCTTTAGCTTGGATATCTTTAAAATCATTATCCAGCTTCCGCAAGATTCTCCGAGTGCTGCAAATCCGGCTGTTTGAAGCATAAACTCTCGGGATCAAATCCCACCGCCACCAGGGTTTGGGGGTTACGGGTATGGGGATGGGCTACCCCGTTGTGTTGCCCCAAGAACACGAGTACCATATGATAAATGTTTTCCATCCCATACATGAAATTACATCTTGTAAGTCTATTCTCTTTTGCAATATGGCAAAAGAACTAAAGATGTACGCATGAGAAGCAAACTGCGTTTTGCAACTGACCTTGATAATTTTGGAGAATAGCATGTGCTCTTAATTGTTGGTTTTTGCTTCTTTCTTAGAGCTTAGTTCTTTCTATTTCTGATCTGCAGGATGAGCAAAAAAAGCATTTGTAGAGTAATTCCTTCCTTCGTGGCGTTGTTCTTATGTGATGCAGGCTCTTCTAATGTTGTCAGTTTCTAGACCTATTTTCATTTCGATCATTTCACAAATAAATAAACAATTGAAGTTTCGTAGAAATGGCATTTTATGGGGAATGAATGTTCATCAAATCTTTCTCATTATGTTCATGTTTGTTTATCATCACCGGCTGTCTCATCATGGTTTTTCGTTTTCACAAAAATGTAATAATATTGATATTGTTATGGGGTACCTAGTCTTTCAAGGTCTTATGCTGTTCTGCTAGGCCATGGAAATGAATGCATAAGCCAGCTGGTTACAATTTTGAGATTATATTTCTTAGTAGGTGTACGAGTATATCACTGACCATTTTCCGGTTTGTTGGTTGGCTGGTCCACTGTTTACGAGAGACTTTCATGCAAAGAGAAATCTAAATATCAAGATCGACCGCAAGATCCATCCATTAAACAGCTAAGGACGTGGCGTCTATAGTAAGAACATGGGTCGTACAGCCACCTGAAGTTCATCTCATTTGTCAGCTACGAAATTGAATCTGCTCAGCGCGCCTCATACTGGCCTAACAGCACGTTTCAGCCGTGCATTGGAAATATCTTCCTATCAATGATTATTTTCAAGTAAGGAGATGTTCCAGATGCATGGCTAAACGTGCTGTGAGGTTAGTGTAAGGCACACCCTGTGAGGAGCAGATCCAAACTCGTCAGTTGCCCACTTATGTGGCGAATCATCAAACTTGGTACATTTAACGCATGAAAGATAGGTCTGCCTAGTAAAATCTTAAGACGTCAGAATATATTTCATCCTACCTATAATGGAACTGAGGCTCCATTTGGTTCAGGCAGAATCGGATTTGAAATCACCTATTTCCCTACTTGTCTGGTTCAGATGGAAATTAAAATTAAATTCCATAAAATATGACATTCCCCACATCGGAATCTCATTCTACTCAATCAAACAGCTGAAAATGAACTGTTTTGATTCCAATTCCAAACCCTTTTCCTATGAATCTAATGTAAGGATGTCAACGGTATTCGAAAATCTGATTTCGAATTTGATATTCAATATAATCGAATCAAATTCGGATAATATAGTCAAATTTGGATATCTTATTCTTACCGAACTCGAATTCAGATATGACCTGATTCGATTTGATAAATATCTAAATTTGATCGATTATTTAATTTTTATATACAATATATAAAATATTTTATATATTTATATAATTTACATCAATAAAATATTTTTTTTATATTTATTATCTAAAATAATTAATTAATCGAATCAAATATTCAAATATTTAATCGAATTTGAATTTGAATATTAATTTTCAATATCCATTGGATATCGAATCAAATTCAGGTATCAGATTTTCTAATCGGATTTAAATTCAAATATTGCCTGATCTTGTTCAAATTTGATCCGTTTAAACCCCTCCTAAGATGCATGCTAAACGTGATGTGAGGTTAGTGTGAGGCACACCCTGTGAAGAGATGATCCGAACCCTCAGTTGCCCACCTATGTCGCGAAGCCCAACATTTCCGTCATCAAGCTCGGTATATTTAACGCATGAAAGATAGGTCTGCCTAGTAAAATCTTAAGACGTCAAAATATATTTCATCCTATAATGTAACTGAGGCTCCATTTGGTTCAGGCAGAATCGGATTTGAAATCACCTATTTCCCTGCTTGTTTGGTTTAGATGGAAATTGAAATTAAATTCCATAAAATATGACATTCCCCACATCGGAATCCCATTCTACCCAATCAAACAGCTGAAAATGAACCGTTTTGATTCCAATTCAAAACCCTTTTCCCATGAACCTAATGGGTCCTAAGATATTGTCCATAAGACCGTGTCTAATCACACGTATGCCACCATCCAGATCCAGTATAAAGATTTAACTGCTTAAAGGGCTCTCGCCTCAAACCTCTTGAATGAACTTGAAGATAAAAAGGTTTTATGTGGGAACCCAACTCGAATTAAGAACATGTACAGGACTATATGCAATATAATCTGAATGATTTTGCAAGTGCCAAACAATTATTTAATTCAGCTGCACCATTTTAAATGAAGAGTCTTATGCATCCCAACAGGACCTTAATACATACAAGAGGATAAGCACCTTTCAGAAATGAAGCCTACTGGACAAAAAACAACCTTTATCGTTAGCGTTTATGATTTATGACTTTATGTACAAAAAGATCACATGCTTTCTTTTGTCTCCTTCCCTCCTCTTTATGAACATTGAAAATGGTCCGAACTAAAACAATAGCATTGCAAGCAATCATAAGCTTATAATCATGAAGAGAAAATACCATTTGACTAGGCATGTGCGCTAGATGGTCAAATAAGCTTAAGCTGTGTGAGGGATGGGTAACTCTCCCTCAAGAATGACAGAATCTTTCTCATCTTTCACTACCATCCAGTCCTGCTTTTGTCCCTGAAATAAAGAAAATATCAAGGTTATGTAATTAAAAAATACATGCGTGCAATGAATTTAGTGATATTTAAAGGCAACCCAGCTCAAAACAGTAATTTGGTTCAGCAATAAATTGATTGTTCATTATTTACCAGTCCCTACAAGGTTGCAACTTTTATCTATGGCCATTATCAAAACCATGCCTAGATAATAAACAGAACAGTTGTTTTAAGGGAGGACCTTTCCTTCTAAAAGAGTAAGTTACGGTAAACAGATTAAAGAAGCTATAAAGAATACAAAGTGGACCTCCCATAGTTGTAATCTTCTTCAAGTCTACATATATGAGTCAAGATTGTTGTTAGTTTATGATATAAATACATCAGATGGAATCAAGGTTCCTAGGTTTCCACCTAACTGTGCAATAAAATCCTGCTCTGCCTCTCTAGTCTCTACCACATCCACATCACAAGGAAAATGAGTGGAAAGCTGACCCTACCTTCGTATATAACAGCAAATCCAACTATGGTAAATAGTAATGAAGTGTACTGAAAAAAATAGAAATAATGTGTACTGGGGGCCACCCATGACTGATTAGTAGTAGTGGAAGGGAAAATTGTTAGCATTTACAGGTGCAAGGGTGGCATACTACAAGAGGTAAACTTTGTTCTTGTTTTGTTCTCAAAAAATGCACTGTTCTTTTTTTTTTTTTTTTGAGTAAAGAAATAATGCATGGTTCTTATTACCAATAAAAAAGAAAGTCTACTGTAACCCAAATACCTTCCCTTGCCGTAGAATGGTTGGAGCACTTCCCGTCATATCCACCACGGTTGAAGGGTCAGCCACTCTAATTCCACCACCAACCACAAAATCAAGACCCTGAAATAATAAAACAGAAACACTCGGAAGACAGAATAAGAAAGTAACTAGTCGCAAATATTTAGATTGGAGATGTTTTGGATCACTTTTTCAGAAACCAAATGCATAAAAGCATATGAATATTTGCTTATAATTCTCTCAGACAATACATAAAAGCAAGCATCTAACTTAAGCTGCCTTAATAACACAAAGCAGAGGATATCATTTTATATGAGACAATGTAGGATGTCAACGTGTCCAGCATCTGCCCACTTAGTTCTGCTGTGATGTAGGCACAAATGCAGGACCGACCTTTGGATCTATTACAGAGCTCTCTCATGTGGAAATTCAGATGTTTCTAACAACCGAATATTATTTAATGTTTTCCCTGGCAACCTTTTCCTTTTCTTCTTATCTTTGACCAGAAGACAAATACGAAAATTTGGATGAGCAGGTTGACTTTCGCAATGCCCTAGAACTAAAACGTTACTGCAACACACAAAATATTTTCTTCATAGAAATGACAAGTAGGTCTGAATAGTGGGCCATGCAGAGAATCTATGATACATTGATACCCTTTAGAAAATAATATTCTGGAACACAATCAGAGGAAGAGCTTAAAGAAATTTTCCAGCAAATCCAGGAGGCAGACATTAAATACATTTATCAGCAAAAAGGAGATTATAGAACTTATACCATAAAATAAGCTGATTTGAAACAGATTGCAATACCTCTGGTTCATAAGTATCAGCTATTACAACAGGGTCTAGCATCCACTGATCTTCTTTAGGCCATTTTACACTAAAAAGAAAAATAAATATATGAATAACATATTAGAACAAATGGTATCCAAGGAAAACCCAAATTTTTAGTGTATTAGCAATCAATCATGGGAGACTTCTCAAAGATCTGAAGATTTCCAACTAACCTTGTTGATATTAAAGGTGCATCCATCTTTTCTAGCACAGCTTGACATATAACATCATTTGGCATGCGAACACCTACATTTTTCCTTGGTGCATATTTAGCAGTTGCGGTTCCATACCTTGTACACTGCTTTGGTAGTTCTTTGCTTGCAGGTAAGATGAAAGTGTACTGTTACAGAACAACTATTCATTATATTTCCATTCCATGGGTTTTAGAAAATATAAGATTCACCATGTACCTGAAGTGAAGTTTATTGACAACAGTTCTACACATGGCACACTGCATGAAATGGGGTTATCATTCTATAAATGACACCAAATATATGTCCTGTACTGGAAATCCAACATTCTTTGATGATAAACATTCATTTCAGAGGATTTTTAGATCATTTGACAGCAATTTTCCAGCCATTAACATGTTATACAGAATAGCTAACTCTGATCATACAATTGGAACTGAACGATTGATGGCAGAAACCCCACCGCATATGTGCCACATGTAGCAGCAAAGATTGATAAATGTCTTTATGGTCACAACTCTTATGGTGTCACTGGTGAGTGTCTTAGATTTCTTGTTTGATGAAAGACTATAGAAAATTAAATGGTCATCCTTACAGGTCCAGGTAAACAATGCTTAACAGCTCGGAAGATGTTCGTTTGACCTTGGCCACTGCCACGAGGGAACCCCATAGTATAAGTATCAATGTCCCGAAAGGAATGGCATAAAATACTGAGAGGCTGCATAATGATAAAAAATATATCAGAACAAAATGTCAAACAAAATATAGTAACTGACTTTTACCATCTTCCCATTGCCCAGAACAAATGAAAAGATATATTAGCATGTCCTACCCATAGCAAGTTCAGAGCCATATTGAACCTTCTGTTGGTGTACGCTTAAGGAGAATGCAAAAATAAAAGATCCCTTGCCTTTGAAGCTTCAATATTTTTAATTCTGCAAATAGATAAACACAAGGAATCTTTGTCAAAAATGAGGAAGTGATGGTGGAAACAGTAGCTTTCTGTTAATGAAGAAGATGCTGAGATCAGAAGCCAGTGCAAAACATAAACCTATTTACCTGCGAAGACGTTCAATGGCAGAATGGCTTTTCAGATCACAAACAATTGCATAACTGGCCACAAGGAAAAGATGGGAACTGATTAAAATAAGAAAAGAAGATAGCATCTAGATTTAAAATTGACATATCAACTTAAATCCTGCAAAACCACCAACAAACTGAATACTCCTTATGTTATACAACCAACAAAACAATATTGACATGGTTTGAATATTTGTCATTTTCTCAATGTTGACCATATTGGCCAACAAGACCTTATTTCTGTAAGAGTAACAGCTAATATAAAACAATAGTCATAGGATGTAAATTTTAACATGTAAGAAAGATGGTATGAGATGGTTTGGTCATGTGCATAGAAGACCATCTACAGCACCCATTAGGAAAAGTGATCTGTTACAAGTTGAAGGGGCTAGAATAGATAGGGGCAGACCAGAAAGGACTTGGGTGGAAGTAAGAAGAAATTATACAAGCAGTCAAGCACCCATAATTTAACAATGGATATAGCACTGAAAATAATTAAATGGCAAAACAGGATTCATGTGGCCGACCTCATATAGTTGGGGCAAGGCTTAGATGATGATGGTGAAGATTAAAGATGGTATTAATGTATTATTACTTAAAAAAGGGAGGACTTGAAAAAGTGGTCATGATAGTTAATGATTCCTGAGATTGCTGTTCTAAGAAGGCTACTAACAACAGTTTGCTTGAAAAGAGATGAAAAGGACTGAAAACAACAGACTGGATAAATATGCATACCACAACATTAATTAGAGAATTCAAAGGTATAATTAACAAGGGAAATTTGGGAAAGAAAGTACTTAGTCATTCAGCCAATTCAAAAAGAAAAAATTAAACTGAAAAACTTTTAATGATTCCAAAAGATGAGCATAACTGAGCTCAGATATTCAGAAACAAAAAAGGACTTAGTAACATACACAGTATCTGTAGGAATAACTCCTACAGCTCCTTCTTTCAGAAGTTGAACAACAGGTTCCAGTTTCCAAATGTCCGATCCTAATGGATCAACTTCCACATAAAGCAAGTCACCCTCCTGTAACGAGAGAAGACATTTACGTGACAACATAATCAATAATAACGACAGCAACACCTTAACTTTACACATCAATCTCCAACCCCTTTCTTAGTGTGATCGTGCTTAGTTCATAAGAACCAGATAAAAAAAAAAGATGAACATATAAATTTTTACAATGATTTTAATGAGAAAGATGCTCCTTTCGTTTGAGTACCAAGAAAAAAGAAAGGAGCGAGATGCCATCAAACCAACGGATCATCATATTCAGTTCATGTACTATCAACAAATTCAGTTATTCTTTTGATAAGAAACCCAAATTACTACAAAGAAAAAAAGTTACATCTATCTACAAGGGGCACTCCTAACAAAAAAATAGGTCATAAGGGGGACAGAAGACATACTGCCAAGTACCAAGGCAATCAACAAATGCAAACATCGGTAACCCAAGCATACATCAAACACAAAGATACATCCGATAGAAAAAAAGGAACACTAGAAATCAGCAACAAGCAGTCAAGAACAATTACAACCATACCAAACAGTGAAAGAATGGAAGTAAATGGAGAGGCACGACCTACCAACATTCGAAGAAAAGTGATAAACGCCAAATGAAGGGGCAACGTATTTGAGGAAGGGTGCACCATGAAAGAGAGATGGGACAAACCTTGGTGAAGCGAGGAGCAGAGTATTTGAGGCGTTTAGGGCTTCGTTTCGCTGCCAAAGTACAGAACCGGAGCCGCGGAAGCTCGACGCGCTTAGGTGAGACAAAGCAATGGAATTGGAAGTGGTCAGGATTTACGACAGAGCACCCAAAAGAAACAGATGGAGCAACGGCGCCCCCGCATATAATGGTCTCCACCACCATTTCAGTCAAAGAGGAAACAGCAGCAGACAAATGCTCTCGTGTGGAAGTGGGAAGTGCGATTAGGCCGAGTGCGAATTTAGTATCGAACTTTAAAATGCGACAATCTAATATCCGAACTTTGGAAATGCGATAATCTGACATTTGTCGTTAATTAATCGTTAAATGACACGTGAAAAGACAAAAATACCATTAAATTATCATCTAATTTTCTTTATCAATCTATCCGCTAAAATTAAAATCAACCCGTATGAAGATCATATTCACACTATCGAACCCGGGGAAGGTCGGAACGTCTTCCTGTCAGTATATAGAACAAAGATTGCCAGCTAGTGCCGTCTGATCACTGTAATGTGGTGTAAGAATCTGTTATTCCATGGCGTCTGCGCATGTTAGCAAGCCAGACATGGAGACATGGAGAATTCTTCTCCATCGTCAAATCCTGCAATAAATCTTCTTCTGAAAAAAAAAATTAGTGGACATCTAGACTTAGTAGCACGGCACAACAAACCAAATAAGCCGAGGTTCCAATTTCCTAAATGGGATTTGGACGGAGGAGTAGCTTTGGTGCTAAAATGTGGTAAAAATCAGAAAGTTCGTAGTGTACATGGATGGGAGGGACAGAGGGAGAAGTTGGGCTAAGGGCGTCTTCTAGTTCTAGCTAGTAGTCCTAGTACTCCCATAAGAATGGTTCTTTCATCTGGAATCCAAAGTAGGCTTCTCTTGGACAGGTCGAAGAACAAACTGTCCTCTTCATCTGTGGACGGAGAAACTGAGACTTCTTGGGTGTATTCGGATGTGGTGGTGAGAGAGGGAGTGAGTGATTGGAAGAAACTCTGATTTCGGTTCGCTAGGCCCGCCTTCGGCGTCGGCTTCATGACTACTTCTCGATGGTTTCTCACCGAAATTGAGTTGGCACATCCAATCTGTCTGTGGGTGGGGTTAACTGATAAATCATAAATTGAGTTGGAGACGGTCATCATTAATTCTTAATCAGGTTTTGAATTGGGTTAGGTCTGAATTTAGAGAAATATAGGGTTAACAGATGGAGAGGATTGACGGGGTTGATTAAGATCAGATGTCAAAGAGTCTTGTCCAAAGGAGCCATATGTCAGGTCTGCCTCTCTACCGCCGAACACAGTACTTAGCACAGGAGTCCGCATTCTGTGCATCCGTGGGTGCCCTAGATGCGTGAACCCGCCAATGGGAGGAGACCACGTCGTCTTTGAAAAATAAGCTAGCGATAATGAAAAGGTGGTCGTTAATTGATTGCGACACAAAAAAGATAATAAAACCCCTCCTAGTCCTAGTCTTATTCGAACTTTGAACCTTGCCTCCTATTCTCTTTTCTCCTCCGTCGAACCCTCCAACTCCAACATATCGGAGAGCACACCACACCGGCCATCATCCATCGGCGGTGAGACTCCGACGCCAGTATGTAAAGCATGCTTTTCATTCTTCTTCTTCTTCTTCTTCTTATGGAACAACAAAAAGGGGCTCTGCCTTCTTTTTCTTTTTTTTGAACAAACTTCTTTCCTCCTTTTCTTCTTCTTCTTCTTCTTGAACAAAAAACAGAGGCTCCACCCCTACTACTTCTTTCCTCCTCCTCCTCTCTTCTTCTTCTTCTTCTTTCAAAAGGTGTTCCTTGTTTTCTGCTTTGAACAAATCGAAGGTGACCTGAAGCTCAGCCTACACCAATGGCCATGTGTGATGTTTGACACTAAAATTCAACTAAAACATAGTGAAAACTATACACAAGTTCTGGAGAATGGTCACGTTCGATCTGTTCAAAACAGAAAGCAAAGAACACCTCAAGAAGAAGAAGAAGAAGAGGAGATGGTCGCTGATAGAGTCTCACCGCCGATGGACGATGGCCACCGATGGAGACAAGGTTCAAAGTTCGAACTAAGACCAGGGCTAGGAGGGGTTTCATTGTCTTTTTGTGTCGGTTCAATCCCACACTCCAATTAACGGCCACCCACAGGTGCACAGAACGCAGCCTCGAGAAGTAGGGGTGAAACTTGGGTGGACTGGGCGGGTTTAAGATGAACCTTGGCCCATAAGACTTGGGCCTAAAGTCCGAACCAAACACGAGTTCAGGCCCAATCCGAACCATTTCAAGCTAAGAGTTATCATGGGCCAAGCCTGGCTTAGGACCTAAGATAGGAGCTATAACTCGTAGGCCACGGTTTGGGCTGAGTAAATATAAAATATGGCCCTATTTGGCGTGTCTTTTTACGTGGGTTGTTGGATTTTTAGAAATCCCTTAATTCGTGTTTTGGTCTTTTCTTGTTTGGTTAGGAAAATATCTAATCGTCGAAAGCCGCAGTTCCAAAAAGACATGGGAAACCCATTTTGGGCTATTTTTGAGAAACTTCAAATGGAGTTTTTCGCCTTTTTTTTAATTCATCTTTGTGCGGAAAGACGCGCAAACAAATGCACCTTAACCAAACGGTCTTCAAGCTGTTAAGATCTTAATGCAAATGCTCACATCATCTTTTGACTATCATAACTTCTAGAAAATCTTTTAAAAAAGACTTACCAAACAACCCCTATTTTTATCAGATGTCTTTGAGCAAAGTAAATATAAAATATTAATATTAAATATATAATAGTCTTTGTTCGTGTGATTGTCGAGTTGGCCTAAGGGTGCCACGTGGTAGATTCTGTGGCCGCCTTCTTCGAGTTGCATCACCATCAACTATGTAACGGAAGAGCACAACCAGGAAGGAGTGTCCCATATAGATAAGGAAGCGGACTCCGCCAGGGAAGAAGGAACCCCCAAAGATGTTGACGGAAAACCTCATCTTGACAACCCCAGAAGCCCTATCCGGCCATAACACTGATACTAAACTATAAATAGGCACTCCCCGCTCGAGATAAGGGACTTTTGGAACTCTTCACTTACTCAACACCTCTCCGGCTCGAAACATGCATTGTCTCAACTTACTCGTCCCAACCAACCCTTTTACCCTACTGACTTTAGCGTCAAAGTGCCTACCCGATGAATAACTCCACAAGCCTCTAACTCTTCCTATGATTGCAAATCTCAGTACACGGATTCGTCCTTCTACCTTGGCTTTGTCTAATTGGCAAGATTATTTGATTGCGGCCTCAGTTTGGAACACCTCGAATCAAACAACATCAGATTGGCACTCTCTATGGAAAACGTACAAAAAGCCATTTCCCAAACCTCTTATTGTACACCAAAAGTGATCATGCCTAAGAACGCATCCGACCGCTTTGAAGCTTATTCCCCATCTTGGGGATCTTGCTCACTCCGCAGCTTTCTGCCTCAAGAGTCCTAGCATCAGACAGTGGTCGACCCCGCACAATTCTACATTGTGCAGCAAAAGGTCAATCGTATCCTACCCATGATGGAGACACTAGGACAGTTAGCATAGGCTGCCCTAGCCACTCACCTCGTTGTGCAAGCACCTACCACGACCAATCCTCAAACCGAGGACCCCAAAAGGCACCACACAGACCAACAAAGGATCCAATCAAATTGTGCGCATCCCCAGCCATCCCAAAAGTCTAGTTCCTCATTGTGGCATTGCGGACACGACACCCACAACAGATCCCGACACGAGAACTGTTTGGCGAGCGCTTGCACCAACCCCCAATCTCGATAGCCGAATCCAACTCAGTTCGAGACTGGCAAGCGGATCCGAAAGCAAAGAAGACCATGAATGCAGCGCCGACAGACCGGGAAGCCTAGGATCTACGAGAAAGGCTGGACAAAATGGAACATAGCCAAGCAGACTGCAACACGGCTCCTCCAATAGCCCAACTAGCGGAACCACATCGCGGCCAGCATCTTGCCAAATTGCCCGTCTTCGTGCAAAAAATCGTAGACAAACTCCCCCAGTTGGATGGCGATCACCTCAATTCGAGAAGTACAACAAAGCCTCGGATCCTAACGATAATCTTGAAGGATTCAAGAAGGTGGTAACCTGGAACTAGTGAGTTGTCACTGAAAAGAAGCTGGTAACCTGGAACCAGTGCATGGCATATCCAAGAAGGTGATTTAGTGTTCATACATACATTGAAGGAACAGATTCTTCATGGAATTTTTCACAAAGTTGCATGCAAATAAAGTTAGCTTGCTTAAGCATTCTGGACAAAATACTTCATTGCACTTTCTTTGGATGTGTGCATTAATTGAATCTTTAATTTCAAAAATTGTCTACATATTGTAGAGATGATTTTTTTTTTGCCCTAAGAGTGAAATGCACGTTATAGAATCATTGAAGAAGTACCATAAAGAAATTGAAGCAATATTTAGCACCAAGTGGATTGTATTTGACCAGAAAATTATCGAAGGTTATTGGTGAAATAGGAAGGATGTTGGCTGCAAATAGCAGGTGAATCAAGGAAAAATATTATAGCAATTGAACCCAGACTTTTTGCGAAATTATTAACTTCTAAACATTATGGAAACAAGCTCTTCTTAAAAGGAAGGATTGGTGATGTCTAGCTAGCGGGCCCAAATTTAGTTTGTTATTTCTTATATTATTTATTGGGTTGGGAAATAGAAAGTTAGTTTAGAGCTATTTTGGGGAAGTTATTTTATTAGATAATGTTAAGTCAAAGTATCTTCAGGAAGACCCCCTTATCTATCAAGGTTATTATAATCTTGTGGGTACCATTGCTTGGTGCAGTGGTAAAAACCTCAGACTGGCAACCATGATTATATGGATGAGTCAGAGGGCCCGCTCCCAAACTCCTTTGTTTGTAAATCTGCCACAATTGAAACTCTTGATTATGTTTGTGGCCACCAAAAGCCTAGGACCATCAACAATAAAGGGCTATTGTAGAAATAGAACTCCCATTAATCATCAGGAGAATCTTATTATGCTTCAAAACATGTGAATAAAGCAGGATTATTCTTGTATACGCCCAAAGTTCTGCTACATGTCAATGATAATTTGTATTCATGTACAGCAAAATTGTGATGGCATAATGTCCTAAATGTCCACTTGGAATTAATGCTGCTTATAGGAATTTATTTATTATATCATTTGCCTTTTTTTCTGGGGAACCTATGCCATTTGTGTTCCATTTCTGATGGCTGTGAAATATGCAGAAAGTGTCTCAATTCATGAGCCGTGCTGCACGTCTCAATGAAGCTTTTTCAGTAGTGAGACGTGTCCCCGTCATACGACCTTCTCTGCCAATGGGTGGGGCGACTCCATGGCCAGTCATGGGGCTGAGATGAAGTCCATTTTGCTGTAGATGAGGGGTAAAGAGAGTTAGTCCGTGAGATTAGCCAAGACAACATACTTGTGGATTTCCACCTATATAAATATGCAGGTTTGGAGGTGAGAAGCTCTGGTTTTATGTTATAATTGTGTATGAAGTTGCTAAATAACTTGTATGCGTATTTTCTTTTCTTCTTTTTTCATCGAGTGTCAACACTGTCTGTCATACTATATGGGCACTATTTAGACTGAAACACAGTCAAGGGACTGTGTTCCTGCTATCCCTTGGTCTTCCAAGTAAAATTCTTGTTCAGCAATGGATAGTTGGATACCCATCCATCTGTTGGTGTAATTGAAACGGGTATAATCTAATCCGTGGGGTTTGATGAAAATCACCAGGATGTCAATTTAATACCACAACATACCAGAGTCAGTTTATTTTCCAATTTGCCAATACAATATTTGTTTTATATGGCTTTGGCATCTTTCCCAATGAGTTATTAGAAGCTATGTTCAGTTGCCGACTGAAAGCTTGTTTTCTAATACGTGAATCACCTACTGTAGTATGAAACTATATATTGAAGCTTCCTAATTTTGCCGGTTCAGTAGTTCATTATAGTGAGCTTCATGGTTTTGTTCAGTGACTCAATTCAGGGTCACAAGGTTTATCATTGACATAAAAGGAAAAAAGCTACAGTATTATGGTTGATATATCT